GAAAAGAAAATGTCTCCTGTAGATTACTGCAGATAGGTCAGCCAACATACTCACAAGTCTATCCTCACTGAGAACAGGTATGTTCAGTAAAAAGGTTCCAGCGTAGGAATCCCAACCTGCTCTACCACAATGGCCTCCAAATCTATTCAGAGCCCAAGAATTTATGCCACCCCTGTCTTTCTCAACCTTGTCCAAGCCATCATGATCTTTTGTCAGGATTGATGCAGTGGGCCTCAAAATGCTCTCCTTGTTCCTATCAGTGCCCCCTCTTTTCTGTTCTCAGCCTAGCAGTTAGATTCTATTACTTCCATCCAGAACTTTCCAATGGTTTCCTGTTTTAGAACAAAACACCAAATCCTTCCAGGAGCCTGTGTGACCTGTGTGTCTCCTTTGTCACTTCTTTACTACTCTCCTCACTGCCTCCAAACTGTACCCCACCCCATACTAATTTCTACTACTCTGGAATCTTCTTCCTGCACTACCCATTCTCAGCAAGAATGGACCCATGAGTATGTTGGCTGTTGTGAGGCATGCTCTCACCAGCATGTTGGTCCTTAGGACCTTTGCAATTTGTTGCCCCTCTGTTGTAAGGGCTCCTCCCCCAGCTCCTGATACAACATGGTAGCCCCCTCCCTCAGCAGCTGTCTATCCTTCCTCCCTGTGCTAATTTTCTCCTTAGTACTTATAATGACCTGATATACCACATATTTTACTAATTAATCAGTTTATTCTCTGTCTCTGAATATTAGAGTGGATGTTTTATTTTTTGTCTGCTTTCTTTCCTCTTATATTCCCAGAACAGAAAACTCAGTGTGCATTTAATAAATTGACTAAATGAATAAAGGGGTGTATTATGGAGTCAGTTTGGAGGATTAAGCAAACTAGCATATGGCAAGCATTTAGAACAAACAATGCTTAGCATGAAATTAATGGTTAATAATGTCATGTTTTATTATTATATTATACTAATGTAATAGTTATTTAATGAATGCTGCATTAAAATATTAGATACTATTTATTGGGTAGTAGAAAGAGGCTAATCAAGCTACAGATGTTTTTAATACTTTAATTTACATTGGCTCCAGGAGGTAATCAGGGGAAATTATTTGTACCTTCTTTTTCTGTCATCTAGAAGATGCACTATAACCCACACTTTGCTGGGAAGGTGAGTAGTCCTCAAACCTTGCTGCACTTTGAAATTACCTGGAGATCTGTGAAACATTGATCCTAGTCCTCTCCCTGGCCTTGCCCATATATTCTGATATGGTGTACCCCAGGCATTAGGATGTTTTATTGCTCCCCAGGTGATTCCAATATGCAGCAAAGTTAGGGAAATGCTGCTGTAAGCTTGTCATAGATCTGGCAGAAGCAGGATGAGAGACTTCTTTAGTCCCTTTCTGTGCTTGGAAGTGAGAATTAAGCCTTCTTTTGTCCCATGGCACATGTGACCATTAGCAAATTCCTTAGCTACAAAGACCTTTACCAGTTTCTTGAGTGGATTATGGTGAAAACTCAGAACTCAGGGCCAGGATCCAAAAATGTGGATCCTCCTTCCTTTCTTCTTCACTCCCTACTTCTTTCCCTTTTTTCCTTCTTTCCTTTGTTCCATATAGGGATAAAAGTAGAGGATTGTTTTCAGATGTGGCACTAGAATGGTATGCTCTGAGATGGTGCTTTCTTTCACAGGAGACAAGAGAATCTGACATGTCCATCATGCTTAGGTGTCCCCACTCTCCTCCAGATGCAGCCACCCATAACTGTTTCAGGTCTGGGATGGCTCAATGTCATGAGGTCAAGTTTCTGTCTAATGAGGCCCAATGTAGGAGAATCAGAGGTCTTTCTTGTGTCCTGGTCCCCAGCCCTGGCTTCCCTAACTTTTCCCTGGGTTTCAGTTCCTCCCTGCAGGGGTCCCTGTCTGAAGCTCCTGCCCTGGTCACTGAGACTCATTCTGTATTGGTTTTGCATCCTTCCTCAGGGACTGAATTCTTCCCCCTGACCACCAGGCCTCTTCACGAGATCTTCTCCCACTTCCTTTCACCTGCCACAAGCATGGGCCCCACTTAGGAGCCATGTTCAATCTCTTGGTCCAGACAAATACCTGCAATTTCATACTAAACAGCTTCTCCCCTTTGACTCTAAAACTTCCACTCTGAGCCAAGACTTTTCTAGAATCATGATAGGACATTGAGGATGGCATGCTACCAGGGACAGATTCATGGGCATTTGACCAGTGTAGTCACACAGGACCTTGAGCTAGATTTAATGATTTTTTTTGTGAGTTAGGGGGGGATTATTAGGACTTGATCCCTGGGGCACTTTACCACCGAGCTATATCCCCAATCTTTTTTATTTTGATTTTTTTTTTTAATGTTGAGACAGGGTCTTGCTAATTGGCCAAGGGTCTCACTAACGTAATGAGGTTGACCTCAAACTTGCAATCCTTCTGCTTCAGCCTCTGGAGTCTCTGAGATTACAGACTTGAGCCACCATGTTGGGCCTCTTGAAATTCTTAATCAGGAAATGAAAAGAGGGAGGGCCCAGCTTTTCATTTTGCACCATCCCTGCAAATTATGGAGCTGGCCTTGTGCAGACACTTAAAATATGAAGACCTAGCGTGAATCAAACCTGACTTTCACCTGAGAAGAACTGACCTCAGTTCAGTTATTTTCTTCTCTTAGTATTTTCAGAGGGGTGGGTCGGGTTGAATAGTTCCATCATAGGAGAGTTTTTAAGGATGAATTAAGGTAACAAATGCATGGTAGCACAGGGCATACAACCAGCTAGTCCTGTTTTATCTAGTGTTCTAGATCACAATCAGCTAATTGAAATGATATTTTCTCTCTGTTTAAAAGGGATTATAAACTTTTATTTTTCTTGACAGTGATATATACCCAAAGGACAGTTCCTAGAGGGCTTTCATTGATCTTACTTAACTCTTATTAATTACTCAGAAGGACAACAGGATTCCTCTTTCCCTGTCTTTCTTTATTACATTTGAACAATATGTTGTCCAGATGGCATATAGAATAGCATCATCCGTGGTATTTTAAAATGATCTTCTTTTACTTATTGAAGATTAGAGAGAAAAAATTGAATTAAGCCCATGTCATTGAAATAATCTCAGCTTACATTACTCTAAGCAGATTTCTAGTGTTCAAATTAATAAATCTTCCCCCCAAAGAAGGCTTCCTTGGACAATGTTCGTGATGAAGACTTCATTAGAAGTCTTGGCGGTTGGTCTTTGACCTGACACTCTGCCATATCAGCCATGGCCCCAGAACAACAATAAGCTGTGATTTTGATCTCAGTTTTCTTATGGGAAAAATGCAGATAAAAATGCCTGCTCTGCTCCCTTGTTCTCAAGGTTATTTCGTGAATCAAAAGCATTTTGAAAATTTTTGAATACTATACAAATTTCAATTGTGGATTATTGATAAGACTTCAGAAATTGAGATGTTAATGAAATGACTCATCTAAATCACTCAAAAATCTTCCCAGAGAGTAAATTCCAAAAGCTAAATTTGCAACTCCTTTCAATGGGGGAAAGTATTTGGCACCAGGATGACTTGTCACCACCACAATAATCTACATTACTTCAATTTCACTGAGGCCAGAGCCATACATGTTACCTGCTAAATGTCCATAGTCCTGTGAGGCAGTTTCTCAGATCTGCTATAACTTGATAATTTTCCACAGAGAAATATGCTTCTCTGTATGTATTAATTCAATTATTTATTGAGAATCTACTATGTACCAGGTCTTCTAGGTACCTGAGAGAACCCAGTGAATAAAACTAAGTTCCTTGGGCTGGGATTGTGGCTCAGTGTTAGAGCACTTGCCTAACACGTGTGAGGCCTTGGGTTCGATTCTCAGCACTGCGTATAAATGAATAAAATAAAGGTCTTAAAAAAATGTTAAAAAACTAAGGTCATTGCCCTCCTGGGATTTCCATTCTAGTGTGGAGAGCAAAACAATAAAGATAAACATAAAAATAAATGTTTGGGCTGGGGTTGTGGCTAAGTGGTAGAGTGCTTCACCTAGCATGTGCAAGGCCCTGGGTTTCATCCTCAGCACCACATAAAAATAAATAAATAAAATGAAGGTATAATAAAAAATGAATATATTCCACAGCACATTCACAGATAATTAGTGCTGTGGGGGAAAACTAGAAGAGGGTAAATGGGATTGGGGGAGCAGGGTGGCCATTAAAAAATATTATACAGCAGAGTCCTCTGTAAGAAGGTGCTATGTATGTAAGCAAAGGATTGAAAGAATTGAGGATGAGCCATATAGACATCTGCAGAACAAGCATTCCAGTTTGGGGGGAACAGTCCTTGTGAAGGCCTAAAGCAGAAATGAGCTAAGGGTTTTCAAGGAACAACAAGGAGTCTTGAAAGAGACATGAGTATAGGTCTCTCTGGATCTTTTACACTCTGTACCAAAATAGGTTTTAAAACTAGAAAGCATGTGATTGTTCTGCTGCCCTTCCTATTCCCCCTTCCCCTCCCCTCCCCTCCCATCACCTCTCTCTACCCAATCTAATGTGACACACTACTTTCTTTTTTTTTTCTTTTTTTCCTTCCCCCTCACATCATCGTACATGTATTTTGTATAACTATGAGGGTCTCCTTCTATCTTCCATGCAATTCCCCTTCTCCCTCCCATTCCCTCCCACCTCTCTTCCCTATTTAGTGGTAATCATCTTCTCATGCTCTTCCTCCCTACCCTATTTTGAGTCACAGAATAAAATAGACACTAGTATTGTTGTATGTATATACGTGGCCATATAACCAATGTGATTCTGCAACCTGTACACTTGGAAAAATGAGAAATTTTACCCATTTGATTCAAATGTATGATATGTCAAGATCATTGTATTGTCATGAGCAACTAATAAAAAAATAAATAAAATACAAAAAAAAGAAAGCATGTGATTGCAAGACCAATGCCAAATATATACATTGATGCCTCCTTTCTCTTGTATGTTCTTTTTTCTACAGTCACATGACACAAGCAATTCCATTTGACGACCCTCGGTTAGAAAGCTGCCAAATCATCCCTCCAGCTCCCCGGAAGGTGGAGATGAGGAGAGACCCTGTGCTGGGTTTTGGTTTTGTGGCAGGGAGTGAAAAACCAGTGGTCGTTCGCTCAGTAACACCAGGTAAGGATGCAACCCCACTCCTTCTCCTAGAACTATCTGCCACACATTGCTAGGATGACTGCTGTTCAAGTTTCCTGTGTCCAGGCTGTGATGCTAGATGGGTTTTCCCAATACCTGCAGAGTACCAAAAGGTCAAAAATGTCTCTCAAACTAAGTTTTAAACTGTCAAATCCATCAAATCATTTGATTCAGGAAAAATACTGATCCATCATTTGTAACTATGGAAATGATGCACTTCTTAACATGTAAATGTAAACAATAAGAAGTAGGCTTTGTACTGATGAATTCTTTAATGAAAAAAAAAAGCAGAAAGTAGTGTTTGAGTTGTAGTACAACTAAGTTTTGGGGGTAGTTCAATTGCTTTACAAAAATGTACTCCTCTCCCTTCTCATTGGAGGCAGAATATATTCTATCCCATTGCTGTTGGGCTGGACCAAGGGACTGACTTTGGCCAATGACATTAGGAAGGTGACATAAGCAAAGGCTTGAGATTTGCTCATTCTGTGTAACTTGTTTCTTGGGCATCTTCTATGGCCATTAGAAGAGTCTTCCTCAGGTGGCATCTGTCCCTTCAGCCTGATCCCCAAAATGAACACTGAGGCTGGCACCCAACAAGACTGCAGCCTGGAGCTAAGTATAGCCTGATTTTCACTTTGAAGCAGAACTTCTCAGCTGACCCTGACCTAAATCAGCCAGTCTATGGGTATCCTAAAGTCCCACAAGCATGAGAGGAAATGATTATTGGACACCTACTGAGTTTTGGAGTGCTTTGTTATACAGAAGATGCTGACTAATACAAATCTCTCAAATTCTATATGATAATTATTAGATTTATCTCAATCATTCATATTAGAGTATACATTCATATTAGAGTATACCAACCCAGTTGAAGAGTATACTCTACAACCCAGTTGTAGAGTATACATTCATATTAGAGTATACATTCATATTAGAGTATACCAACCCAGTTGAATACAACAGACTGTGATGTAATTGCCTAAAGTGGGCTGACTTTGCCTTTCTAGGAACAATGTGCTTTTATGTTTCACTTATTATATATATTTATGTACTTATTGTAATGGACTTAAATTGGGTTTTATTTTCAGACAAAAGAAAATTCTCTGTCATTGTTCTCCAGAATTTTGCAAATTGTAACAGAATTCAATAGTAAAGTACACTTATGTGTACAGATTCTGATATTAAATTGCCCAAGTTTGACTCTGGCCTCTACCCCTTATTAGACTTTTTATCTTCCATGGTAATTCCCTGCTTTTCAGTTTGATGTAACTTCTCTATATCATCTGTATTATGGGGACCACAGTAGTATGTAACTTACAGAGCTATAGAGAAGATGCAATAAGTTAGAAGAGTGCTAAGGACATACTTATTCCATAACTGTATTATTATTATTATTATTGTTATTATTATCATTATCATCATCATCATTATTATTACTGAACTCTCAAATATTTGGCCAGTTGAGTCTGTCAATTATGAGAAACTCAAGTCAACTAGCGAGCTGGTATAGATTTTAGAATTTGATTAAATTTTAACTTTTTAATATTTTGACATAATATTCCCCAGGCATGCACCACAAATACAATCAACCCCTTCTGACTTGTGCTGTTAAGTATTGCTTAACACTTGAGCTTGATAAACTGAGAATTTTATTCTTAAAGTAGATTTATTGCTTTTTATTATAATAAAATAATATATGGGCTTTGTAAAAAAAAATGTAAATAGTATATAAGTGAGAGTAAAAAAATGTCAATTCCTGCTACCAAGACATAACTGCTATTCACATAGACATAGAGAATATGTATAATAGGCATAATTCTGTAAACACAAAAACACAAATATATTATCCATTATATATTTAACGTGTGTGTATGTATATGTGCACACATAGTTTTTTCTAAGAGGGCTCGTATTTGACATGCAATTTTATACTATTGAGATAGTTTAACATTGTTGGTAATGAGATTCTCTGAAGTTTGAGTCCTCCCAGGAGCTGTGGAGATTACAATTTTGTTTTTCACTTTTTTTGTATTGTCTCACTTTTCCCTCAACCTCTTCTTTCCTTTTCCCTCAACTCTCCTTACCTTCACTAACGTCAACTATTAGACAGTTTTGAAAAGAGTAGAAAAAAAGTGAAAACTGAGGTCAAAGAATACTACTTCCAGTCATTTGTATGAGTGAAAATGTTGGTCAAATAAGCTCTGCCTATCACAAAAATGGCTCTACTACAGTCCCAAGTGTTTTCTGTGCAGTGACCAGAATTTCTATACCTGAAAGCCCAGTCTTCAGAGTAAAAAGGATGAGACAATTATCTGAAGAGTGCCACTGTTTTATATATTGGAAAGGACTGTGTGTTATTTCACCAGAATTCTTGATTCAAGTTGCTTGATTAAATAAGAATATTTCTATTGGATCAATATGTATGGGTCAAATGTAAGATTATGTCCTATTGATGAATGTTTTCTCATAAGACTAATTAATATCCATCCTTCAAACATCCTTTTCACCACCAGTTATTTTGAAAACTTTTCTGTATTTTATCTGCATTTGATTTCTACCCATTTTTTTACTGAATTAGTGTGACTGTTTGCACACAGTCCAATAGTTACAATAAGTTTGTCAAGTGATTTCTCTAGATTCCATATGTTTGCAAATACTGGAACTCAATTCCCAGATCTGTGAAATGAATATTTTCTATCACTGATATGGGTACATATTAAGGTTTCTCTACTTTCTTACTCCCCAGAAAGACAAATTTATAGTACAGTTTGAGTAACACATATGTCAAGTGCCTGTGTGGGTAGAGGACAACTGAATGGCTTCAGTTCTTTGTTCTGGGCATGAAGTGTTCATTTCAATTACTGAACAAAGTAATGGTGATATTATTTGAAAGATAACATTTCGGCTCCCTGTCACCCAGTGCCAGACTTTTGTAAAGAGAATTCAAATAATAGTGCCACATAGTACTATATCAATATTTGGAAGGTAATTGCATCTATCTAGACATGTGAGAATAATCCAAATAATTGTTTTGGGTTTTTATTTAAATACAGATTGTGCTTCACACAGATGTGGCTTTTAATTTGCCTGTTAAGAGACATGGCAGTTACCAGGTTTTGAATTGTGAGGACAAGTTCAAAAGTGACATTGACCATTTTGACAGAATTCTACAGACGCAAACTGAGATCCAGTCCTACCTTCATGCCGTTTTTTTCTACATATGTGAAACTCGGTTGTCTCACTGTATGGAAGAAATCATAATATTCAGTGAGGGTATCAGGCAAAACAGCTCATTGCCAGCTACACAACAAATCAACCCATATTAATTTCCTACTCCCTCGTTGGAAACCTAACTGAAAGAAAAACAGCCTCTGACTTCCAGAAGCTCTCAGAGGCCCTCATAGCTGGGCCTGGCTTATTCTGTTGAACATGAACAGTGTCACCAAATATCACCAGACAGGGCCATTCTGGCTCTGATGAACCAAGACAAAAACAAGACTCCTTGTACTGATATGTGAGTACACACACAAACATCCAAGCACAGTCCAAACCACAAGCATGACCAACTATGACCCTCTGTCAGCTGATATGAATGACTGTTGTTAATCAATCATAACCTAGTTCTGCTTCCTTCATCTTACCTGGCAGGCAATTATTAAGATGTTCATCACAGAATCACTTCTGCTTTCCATTAGCTGCTGATCCAAGGACAGCACCCCACTTCCTTGAACCTGCCCCAACAGCATCTAACACAAAGTCAAATCTTCTAATAAGTCCTCTCTAACACCCTATGATTGAGATGCCTTGTGATTTCCCACAAAGTGCTATCTCCCTACTCAAAATGAGCAAATAAATACAATGTTGTTTAAATCCAGTTGTGCCCAGGTTGTTGCAGCTTTGGCTGCAGGCAACACAGCTGTTTGGCTACCTGTTGGGAAACTACCTTCTTCTAAAAACCTTGATACTCATAAGCCTTTTGACCAGCATTAACAGCTGCTGAGAACCTGGGAGAAATGCATGATCTCATCCTGCACCCTTGTACGGTAACATGATCCACAAGTCATTCATAAGCATATTAAAGTGTGCGAAGTGCTGGGAACCTAAGTCTCCATCTGGCCCATGAAGTTTTTAGAAAATGTGGATGCATGAGTCTCACTGCAAAAGTTTCTGATTTAATTGGTCAGGATGTAGCTTATGATCTCAGACTTATCCAAAGAACACCCAGGTGTGATTGGGTTTTGTCTTGGCTGATGTCACCACCTGCTCACAGTGAATCATAATGGATAGAGGGGATTTTGGATGGCTTGCCAATGTTCTTCTCAACTGGACTTTACTCTTGTGTGTTTTCAGGTGGCCCCTCAGAAGGCAAACTGATCCCAGGAGATCAGATTGTAATGATTAATGATGAGCCAGTCAGTGCTGCACCCAGGGAGCGGGTCATCGACCTGGTCAGGTAGGTGACTCATTTACTTCATCCTGTCATGAAGGCTGCTACACAGCTCTGAGGCCTCATTTGGAAATGCAAGAGATTCCTATGGACTTATTTATAATCAGAAACACCAGATTACATATGCACTTTATTAAAAATGCTGGTGATACTAATATAAAAACACATGCTCCATTAGCACAGAATGCTTAATTGTCCACTCTCTTAACATTGAGGATCTGCATGTTTCTGCTCAAATTTTTATTACTCCTATTTCGATTTCTACATCCAAAGGTTGCATATTTTTCTTCCAGAATTACTAACACGTTGATTTTTTTTTTCATAATCAGGGAGATCAACATGCAATGCCTAAATTCAGCATTAAATGATGATGAGTAATTTTATATACATAATTCCATGGATACACAAACATACACATACAGTTCACTGATTTTTCATACTTGACTGATTCATTACTGAATTTTGAGATTATCAGCTGAGGCAAAAGAATAATTAGGATAATTAGGTCAAAGCTACAAAAGGTAAAGAAATGTGTTTGGTTTATTAGTTCAGTTTTATTGTGGATATAAGTAGTTTGTTATGTGGTATTCTTAATTGGGCACCAAAAATGTGTTTTGAGTGATTTAAAAATATTAGCAAAAAATTCCTTTAAAACCTCACTCTGGAGTTGCACTTTGTCAGTGAATTTAGAGCAAGAGAAGTCTATAAATTTTCCAATGAAGATGGTTCTATCATATGAACAGATCTACTTATGCTACGGGGGTGTTGAGGTATAAGAAGGTGTGGCATTTGTCTTTTATAAACTGATCTTTTCAAGCAAGATTAGAGTGGAAGCTAAAGCTATCAGAACACTTGAAACTGAATATTTATGATCTAATATGTATGCTCACTCATAGCAAAAAGTACCTCTGTACTTTGGGAAAAACGTTAAGTGGAGTATTTTTAGGGTCTTCTGCAGAAATTTTCTTGCCCAAACTCAGGATAGTTTCTACTTCACAAAGTAGTCATGGATGATCAAGCATACTTGGAAGAATTTAAAGAAGAGTAAGAAGATGGGGAAATAGAAAGTGAGCGGACTCATTTTTAGGATGACCAACCATCCCAGTTTTAGCAATAGAAAAGCCCACATCCTGGAAAAACTCCTTTAGCCCTGAAATGGTTGGTACCTACCATGGTCTGAATGTTAGTATCCCCTCTTCCCAATTCAAATTGTGCAATCTAATACCTATTACCGATTTAAATCTTTGAGGAAGTGATTAACTCAAGAGAGTGGAGTCCTCAGGTATGGGATTAGCACCTTTATGAAAGAGGTGGGAGTTGCCTTACCTCTTCAGCCACATGAGAACACAGCAAGAAGGTGTTATCTATGAGGCATGGGGCCTTCACCCACTCTGAATGTGCTGGTGACTTGATCTGGGACTTCCTAGCTTCCTGAAATATGAGAAATAAATTTATATTATTTATAAGTTACCCAGTCTAGGGTACTTTTTATAAGCAACCCAAAGGGAGTAAGATAGTCACTCTAGTCAGGACCTGATATAATGGAACCTTCTCAGTTGGCTTGAAAGTTTGTGCCTATACTCAAAGGGTATCCAGATCTCCAAAGGATGCTATCACATAGGAAAAAGCACTGGGACTTAAGTTATATTCACCTTGCATCAGGAATAAGACTTGGGAATCGTTCCAATTTCTGAAGACTGGAAATACAAGAACAGGAAAAGATTTTGGATTTGAGAGCCTTTGGGAAGGAGTTGTAGTGTTACTATTTAGGGTCACTTCCATCTTGAGAGGTATGTGGGTGTCAGCAGGGACACTCCTCATCCAGGCAGGCTCTGAGCCTTTTGTTGGCTTGCATCCTGAAGTGCCATGTTTGGGCCTAATGGCAGAAGTCACATTTTGTTTTTCCCTAGGCACACACCTCTGTGATCAGTCCTATTGATTTCTGTGCTAGGAGAATGATAGAAGAAATAATATATCTGAGTTTGGGTTTGCTGTGACTGAATTGCCTGCTGCAGGACAGGATGCAGAAAAGCTATCTAAAAGTGTGATCATTTCCTAGCAATCTTACCTGGGGCACTTAGAAAGATGTTTTCTTTTTTTTTTTCTTCAAGAATTTTTCTTTTCCTTCTGGTTTAACACATTGTGAAAGAAAATGGCATCTCTGAAAACAAAGCATTCCCTATAGGACTTTATATGTAATGGAATAAATGAACCAATTAAAAGAGGGGATGGCAAGTAGCTCAAGTCCAAATCCAGCCTGCCACAAGTTTTTTCAAAGCCTGTGAGCCAAGAACAGCTTTTACCATTTTTAAAAGTAAGAAAAAATATAAGAATGATATTTTGTGACACATAAATCATTTGAAGTTCAAGTTTCAGAATTCATAAATATAGTTTCACCCATTCATTTACATATCATCTAAGGATGCTTTCTCCCTATAATATCAGAATTGAGAAGAGACTCTGTGCCCTACAAAATATAAAATACTATCAGGACCTCTAGGAAAAAAAATGCCAACACTTAGAGAATAATCTAATTATATTGTATTTTCTTTGGTTAAGCCTAATGAAGACCAAAACCCCAAATAATATATAGAGAGAATTTCTCTCATAATGAATTTTTGATTATTGCATAATTTCCAAATGTTTGATAAAGTGATGGTGGTGTTTTAAATGGACTGAAATTGAGAACATGCATGCTTTTCGTATTCTTTTATAGCCATGCCCTGAAAGTTCTGTTTGAGAAGTGTTCTTCTAATAACAAAGACATATGGAGACCCTTGTGATATTGTATAAGATATTAATAGCAAAAAAGGAGAGTTAGTAGGTGAGGGGACCCTGGTGAGGAAAATCACACAAACGTGGCTTTTTTCCTCAGTAGTAGCTTTGGAAGCATAGCCTCTTGTTCCTATCTCCTTTCTTTTCTTTGTTCTCCCTGATGAAAAGTCAGGTCACTGGGGAGAATTGTAAGAAAATGACCCGACCAGAACTAGAGAGAATGGAATAAACTCAGGGCAGCTGAGGCTTACAATTTCCTATGCCAACAGAAACAAAAGCCAAGGAATGACAAAAAGAAACAAGAATAACTTCTTAACCCACACAAAGTCTTTAACTGGTAGAAGCATGAGATATATTGATCCAATGAATAATTTTTTGTTCTTTCCTTATTCTTTCTCCAAGTTTGAAGGGTTTTTCCCTTGTGCTTGGTCTTGATATTCCAAGGTGCAAAGAACAAGAAAATATGCTTTTTATCATTCATGAAGCCATAAAATCCCTACCCATTTGTCCACTTGTTGTGGTTTAGATATGAGGTACACCCCAAAAGCTCCTGTGTTAACATGCAAGACTGTTAATGATTGAAATGTGAGAGCTGTAACTTAATCAGTCCATATTAGTTTGAAAGGACTCACTGGGTTGTAACTGTAGGCAGGTGGGGCATGGCTGGAAGAGGTGGGAAACTTAGAGCATGCCCTGGAATGGTTGATCTTCCCTGTGTCCCCTTCTCCTTCTCTCTGCTCCATGGCCACTTAGAGAAGAGTAGCTTGCTTTCTCCATGCCCTTCCAACATGATGCTGTGTATCAACTCAGAGTCAACCAACCATGAACTGAACTTCTGAGACCATGAGCTCAAGATAAACTTTTCCTTCTCTCAATGATTCTTGCCAGGTATTTTTGTCACAGCAACCTAAAATACCACCTTCCTCACCTCAAGACACCAGTAAAAACAAATAGTTGACAAGGCTCAAAGGATTCCATGATGACCAAGAGGCAATCTTCTTCAAGGGACCTAAATTCACTTTTGCTATCTATTATCACACTATTCCACCCATCCCACCTATACTATGAATTTGCCAGTAGAACCATAATCTAGGACAGGAATCTGAAAGCCATCCTCAGTTTTCCTTTCCTTCATTTTCTATATCTAACAGTCCACCCTTCTGTACATCCACCTGTGCACTTATTGAGAAATTTCAACTCAGTGAAAGGCAGAAATTTGAAATGAGTCTATTTTTCTCCTCCATTGCCTTTAGTCAGGAACTATTATATTCTTCTTTCCTGTACACTGACACCATCTAAGGCAGAACCTATATATTCTTTCACTTGCTAAAGTCCAGTTTGAAACTCCAACTTTATGCCATTTAATTTTTATCCCCTCCTTTCTCTACAAGTCAGATTCAACCCAATGACTGCAGAGTCGGGGTGGGAGTTAAATCTGCTAAATTTTCCTTCACCACCTCCTATTTAAACATCATAAATGTTACAGTTTACATTTTAAATGCCCCCCAAATGCTCATACTAAATTTTTTGTCCTCTGCCTATGGCACTATTAGAAGGTCAGACCTAGGGGAAGGAAGTTAGGTCACTGGAGACATGCCTTTGAAGAGAATTTTTTCTTGCCTATTCCTCTCTCTTTGCTTCCTGACTACAAGGATCCTCTCTACCATGTGCTCCTGCCATGATATACTGTGCCACCCCAAGTCCAAAGCAATGGGGCCAGGCACCCATGGACTGAAACCTCTGAAATCATGAGCCAAAATAAATCTTTCCTTTTAAAGTCCCCCCTCAAATGTATCATCACAGTGACAGAAACCTGACTAAGACAATGAGATACTACAGGACAAAAAAAATGTCTTTCTCTTCTCAAGGACCAGCTCCTCAATGGTGGAAGTTGAGTGGGGAAATCAGAGAAACTACTTTCTGTTAGGGCCCTCTCTTGGTAGACTGTGTTGCTCCTCAAATTAACACTGGCTGCTGACTCCCTTCATGTTGCTGGTACCTACATGTTGGCTATCACATGCCAAATATGAATTTTTTGTGATATAAAGCATAGCCACTTGGAGAAGCCACCCCACTGCATAGGACCATCAATTGGAGGTCTATCTTCAGATCTTTTCCTGTCTTACTGTTAGTTTTCCTGATCAAATCTCCTGGCTAAGGTATTTGCAAGACCAGCTACTCAAGGTACCTAATTGTCCTTTTCACAGAAAACAAAAAGTAAAGTTTCACCA